AAAAAAAAAAGAAAAAAAATTGATAAAAACATATGTAAGAGCAGATATCGTTCCTTTTGCTTCTGGCTCCAATATATTTTGGCATGACTCTGATGGGTCCTCTGTTGGATTTTGATATTTTGTTCATTGTGGATTTTTTTTGTGTTAATTTTGATTTTAAAAAATATTTCATTAATATTTATCTTGGTTACTGAATGTTTTTGGCACCACCTTAATTTTGCACCCTAGGTGAGTGCCTCACTTGCCTCACTCTAATCCCAGCCCTGCAACTATGTCCTGGCTTCAAGGGCTTCCATCATCTTCTAGACAAAGCCCAGGCCCTCAGCTTGGCATTTGGCATCTGTCCACTGTCTCCCCACCCCATCTCCCCCTCCCCTGCTCCTGCTTCATAGAACTCCTGTGGCCTTATACACACTACTGTCCCTGCCAGAATGATCCGCCACATCAAAACTCCCTCTTTTTTTTTTTTTCCTTCTTGTCTCTTTTTTCGTGACCGGCAACGGATCGCAACCCTCAGTGTCGCGCCCATACCGGACCTGGACCGCGAACGGGATCGCAACCCTCANGGGAGCGCCACCGCGCTCCCAAGCGGCGCACTGTAGCAGTGCGCCACCGGGCCGGCCCCAAAACTCCCTCTTGATCCAAGACTGTCCCAGTGAACATTGCCCACAGCTCCTCCCTACTTCGATTCCCCTCAAGAGGCATGAGTTGGTCCCATACCCCCAAAAGTGCCCCCCACCATGTCCACCCAGGTGCTTCTCCTTGGAAGGGGCCATCTTCCCACCTCATGTCAAGCCCTGCACTGGGCACTTAATGATTCCCATGACTTATGATAATTAAGCTCCCCCCAAGAAAGCACAGTTGGGGCCTGATGCAAAGGTTTATTGCTGAGTCTGCACATCTAGCTGAGAGGTGTCCAAATTTTGCTCTGGCCTTGCCAGATGGAAGCTCCTTGTCCCGGACTGCAGCACAGGCCCTGGCCCATGGGCATAAGCAAAGACTCAGTGCTTGATGAGGAAGGAGGGAGCAGGGACGTGGGGGACATGGGCTTTCATCCCCAGTGGTTCAGGCATGGCCCTCAGTTTTCCCTGCCCAGGAATGGGCCCTGAATGGAGAGGGCAAGAGAATCTGGTGGCAGGGACAAGACAGTCACCTAGGTTTGCTTGTAACCTCAACTGAGGTAGACCTCTTTGGGCACAGCCTGGGTCTCCATATAATCTTGCATCCTCTGCCTGAGGCTGATCGATGGGAGCTGGACTCTACCCCCAGCCACCTCTCAGTACAGCTCGACTATTGGCCCTAGCTGGTGTCAACAGTACCCTCCATCAACAGACCATCCCAGAGTACTGATCTGCCCAGAGTACTGTGTGTGGGTGGATGAGGTGGGGTGTGGATCTGGCTTCCAAGGACAGAGGGGCAGATCCTGGGGGGGGGCAGGGTTTAGGGGTTACTCTGAGCCTGTTACTTGGGGAAAGGTCTGGCTTGGGTCTCTCCATGGCACCCAGGGGTTCCCAGATCTGTCCCCCACTCACTAATTTATCTATGTGGAGGATCTGCAGGAGAGAGCTAGCTTGGACTTTGGACCCCTGAAACTGTTGGGAGGGATAGTCACCAGCCACTGGGTAGACAAGTATCAGACTTGTCACATAGAGGCCTGCTTGGGGGAGGGATACCCCCAGCCCTTCATGAAACTCTGGGAGGGAGGGCTGTTTGCTGAGCCCAGACTCACCAGGTGAGTCATGGGCTCCCAAGGGCAGGAGAGCCGCAGGAGATTGGTCAGGCAGGCACTGCTGAGTCACTGCAAACTCCAGCTGCCCCAAGTCCTTCCCTTTCCTAGCTGGGGCTGGCTGCTGTAAGTCCAAGAGGCCAATGCAGCCAGAAGGTGAAAGGCAGGGCCAGGATTGGGGGGGGGGGGTACAGGGGAGGGTCTGGGCCTCAAGGCTAGCAGGGCTCAGGCTTTGGGTCTGTGGCTGGCCGCGTGGCAGGCTGGAGCCCAGGAGTCCAGGGGGGCTGGGGCTACAAGGCAGCTAGGGCTACAGGGTCTCAGGGTAAGGGACTTGCACCTGTGAAGAGAAAAGGGAACCGAGTCAGCATCCCTGGGACTCAAAACAAATCGGTTTAGGCATTGGTGTGAATGGCGGCCCTGGAAGCAGTGACACCTGGGGCGTGGGGGCCGGATCAAAAGGGGTAAATGGGCAGGACTTGTGAGCTGGGGGAGGGGACTGTGGCAGTGGGGTGTAGCCTGAGGAGCCAGGTGGGGCCTGGAAGCGTTGAGTCTGGGATTTGGGGGTGGGGCGCTAGGAAGCGGAGTGAGGCTGGAGAGCTGGGGCGAGGCCTGATGGTCTGAGGCGGGGTCAGCAGTAGTGAGGTGGGAGGGAAGCTGGGGGAGCGGCTTGGGGTACTGAGACTATGCGGGAAGAGAAGGGTGCGTCCGGCCAGGCCATCGAGGATCCCACCTCAGAAGAGGCCGCAGTCTTTGAGGTTCTCCTTGATGATGATGTCGGTGACAGCGTCGAAGACAAACTTGACGTTCTGTGTGTCCGTGGCGCAAGTCATGTGGGAATAGATCTCCTTCACGTCGCGCCGCATGTTGAGCTCGAGGAACTGCACCTTGATGTAGTTGCCAGCGTCCTCATACGTGTTGGGCCCTGCGGGGGAGGGGAGCTCTTACTCGCTGCCCCGACCCTTCCCCGGGCGAGATCGTGGGGCTGGGACTCCGCCTGGTGGCAGGACCAGGGATTCCCACCGTCGTAGTCCGGAAAACAGATGCTGAGGTGGGCCTTCTTTATCTTCTCGGAGAAAACGTCCTTCTTGTTGAGAAAGAGCACGATGGACGTGGTGGCGAAGTAGCGGTGGTTGCAGATGCTGTTGAACAGGTGCAGGCTCTCGTGCATACGGTTCTGAGGAAAGCAGCAGCTGTCGGGCACCAGGGGACAAGGGCAACCGCTCCCACGCGGGCCGCCTCTGACAGGCCAGCCCCGGATCTCTGGGCTCCCGGGCACTGGGGGCTGCCCCGGTCAGACGGCTCACAGACAGCCTCCCACATTGCCCCCTTAAGCGGGGCTGCTGGCTGCCTCCTCGCCTCCTTCAGACCGCTATGGAATGAACCTCCCCAGCCAGACGCTTACCCTTCCACAGCACTGTTTCCATCTGCCTTTAGGAGACTTAGGCCCTACTGGCACTCACCACTTCGTCGTCCTCCACTAGCACCATGTCGTAGGCGCTCAGCGCAGCGATGAAGATAATGCAGGTCACGCCCTCGAAGCAGTGGATCCACTTCTTGCGCTCTGAGCGCTGCCCGCCCACGTCGAACATCCTGTGGGGCCGTGTGGGCCTGAACCCGCGCATCGGGCCCCCCGGACGCCCCCACAGGCATCCCCTCTCCTCTCTATGCAGGTTGGGGAGCTCTCAGATGGGACTGGCATCTGGAGGGGCCGGGCCATTCTGCTGGGGGAGTGTCCGAGAAGGCGCAGGGTTTCTCGTAGGGATGGGACCTCTGGGACAGGACAGGGCCTCGGCGCGATCTCCCGGGCAGGCCCCTGAGCAAGGGCTCTGTGTCTTACCGGAAATTGAGGTCCTTGAAGGAGAACTGCGTCTCGATGATGCCCGTGGTCTTGACACGTGAGCGCAGCACGTCCTGCTCAGTGGGCACGTAGCCCGGGGTTACCAGGCGCTCCAGATCCGAGAGGTAGCTGCGGGAGACCCGGGGGTGAGGGTGGAGTGGGAGGCGTGGAGGGGCATGGCAGGGCCCCGCCCGCACCCCCACACCCCGCCTGCGTGCTCACTAGCCCGCCGAATCGTTGAGCTGGTACTCCGAGGCGCGGTCGAAACAGGCCTGGATACCCGAGTCCTTCCACAGCCGCTGGATGATGTCCGACATCTCCTTGGGCATTGTGCCTTCCTCGATCGTGTCTGCCATGTGCATCAGCTTCCGGGCGTCGTCCTGGGGGTAGGATGGGAGCGGTTGGTGGTGACCGTGGACATGGGCCCTGCTGGGCGCCTCGAGTCCGCGGAGGCCCTGCTCCAGCCGCCTCCTGGCGCACCTGGCGCGCAGAGTCTCCGTACTGGATGTTGAGCGTGGTCATGGCGCGCACAATGGCCAGGATGGACTGCAGCGTGTTACCGTAGATGATGGCAATGAACTCCAGGCACTCTTCCAGCGAGTACCCGTCCTGGTGGATAATCCTGCGGCCGGGGCGAGCAGGGTCAGTGCCTCACGGGCCAGTGGGGAAGGACGGGCCCGGTGTATGCGCCCTCCCCCGGGGGCCTCGGTAGGGGAGGGGGCACTCACTTCATCTGCTTGACGATGGTGCTCTTCCCGGACTCACCTGCACCTGAAAGGGAAGCCGTACCTCAGAGCCGCGCTGACCGCCTCCCGGCTCCCACAATGAGACCGTAAGATGGGGCGGGCCCGAGTCGGCCAGGTGGACCCGCAGCGAAGAGGCCTGGGCGCCAGCCCGACCCTCCGTCACGTCTGCCCTCCTCCCGCCCCCGCCAATTCAAAGTAAGCTTCTCACGCCCTGGAGGCAAAACTTTTGTAAATATCAGGAAAGTGACAAAGGGGGCCGGCGAGGGGAACCAACGGCCTCAACTGTGTGGGGTGCGTGGTGCTGGGTGGCGGGGAAGTCCCCAAGACCCTAGTATACACAGCCTTTATGATGCTGGGAGACCAAAATAAAGAAATCCTGGAGCGCCATCTTGTGGGTTTTCTCTGGTACTTCAGGCAGGGAATTATTTAAGGCGGGTCAACCCCTGCTTTTCACCTGAAAGGGGTGGCGGAGGGGGGGAAGGGAGGAGGGAGGTGTCTCCCAGAGGCTCAGAGGGAATTAGCACCTTTGGATGGGGGAAAGGGCAGAGCTGACATCCCTTCCTAGCCTACCCCCCGCGAGGGCGTTGGGCACAGTTAATGAGATTGCTGGCTTAGCCTCTCTGCCTTCCCCGGTATGGGGTGGGGCCCTGGCTTGGTCCTTCTGCCCACCTCCAGCTGGTTGACTGGACTTAGGAAAGCTTGGATGGAGCCTGCCTGTCCCTCTTAAAGCAGATCCTTCATCTTGGGGGATTCGGCAGTGATCTTGAGGCAGGCCTGGATCAGCCCCACTTCCCTTCACTACCCATGGCACCATGGACAGGGCTTTATCTATTCCTCACTGGACCTCAGTACCCCTCCGCCCCCTTTAGCTGCTTTGTAGGTCTGCCAGCAGTAAAGCTTTGGCACCTGAGGGCCATTGTTTGTGGATCTGGGTGGTCCCAGAGACTCCCTACTCCCCAGAGTACTATGACCTTCCCAAGGGAGCAGCCCTATGTGGGGTTTCCAGTGAGGGCCCTGGTTTCTGAGCCCTTTCTAGCAGACCCATCAGATCAAAGGCTAGAGCTTTAGGGAGTCCAGCCAGGACAAAAGTGCATCATACACACTTGTACAAAAGTGTGGTTGGCGCACGCTTCTGGGGAGAGGAGGTTGTCTGAGGCAGAGCCCTTCGGAGAGTGGCTTCATGGGATGCCCAGCTTTGGGGGATAGGGACATTACCTGTCAGGCCTACCTTTGCCTAGCCAAAGCTCCCACTCTGTTCCCTACCCTGTTGCAGGCTCACTCTACTTTCCAAGGAACCCCTGCTTCACAGAAGGGATGCCTGCCTGCCCCCAGGCCGCTGACCTGGTGGCAGTGGCTCCACCTGGGCCCTCACCCCTACCCAGAAGCAGCAGTTTCACGGTTCGAGCATCCTTCTCAGCATCCTCTTTCAGCTTCTTTTCCAGCTCCCTGGAGTGCTTCTCCTCAGCGCTGGCCCCAGCCCCCATGATCCCAGCAGCAGGTAAAGGGACAGGGTGGGCAGGTGGCTCTTCTGGATGGAGGTGATCCCAAGAGCCAGGCCTCCCCAGTCACCCTTCTGGCCCCAGGAGGACCTGAAATCAAGTGGCTCTCCACAGACCTGTGCAGGCCCTTGTGGGGCTTCTTAGTGGGATTTAGGGACTGGGGGTGCCCAAGAGCCAATCAGAGACAAGGACAGGTGAATCCAGCTCAGCACCCCCATTCTAATCAGGCTAGTGTGGCCCCAATCCCTCAACCGCTGACTCTGCACCCCCTCTGCTTTCCCCAACCCTCCAGGAGAGGCCCCGGAGACAGTCCGGCCTCCACCCCTACATGTTTGGTAGGATCAGGGCTGAGAAAGGGGAGGATGGGCTCTGGAGCCTTGTGGGTGGGAGCAATGGGGGTGGGGCTGGCAGCAGGAAGGTGTAGAGGGAGAAGCATGCATGGGGCGCTTGCTGCCTGCCCAGCACTGGACTCAGCACCGCTCCTTATTGTGCTGTAAGCTCACACTGGCCCTAGGGGACGAGTGTCCATATCATCAACCACATTTTACTGATGAGGGAGTGGAGGCTTAAAAGGTCACACAGGAAGACATGGTTGAGATGGGCTGGGTGACTCTGGACCAGGGTTCTATGCTCTGCAGGTAGTCAAGAGGGAAAAGGTGGGCATTAAATTTACCTCATCCCGAGGGCTGGATCTGACCCTGAGTACATTCTCCACATGCTTGTTCCTGATGGACTCTGGTGGGCGTGTCTGTCTGCTATGTATGCCTGGGTGTATGTGTCCGTCCTTTACCGGCATCAAGCAAGCAATGACTCAACACGTTTGCATATGTGTACCTGTGTGTACATGTGGAGGCAGTTTTGTGCATCTCTCCTCATGTGCACATGTGCTTGAATGTGCAAATGCTGTACATGTGCAATGTGTGTTAGTGTGCACTTGCCTGTGCACACATGAGCATGCCAGTGTTTACTTGGGCATGTGTACCTGCGTGTGTACATTTATGTATGTGTGTGTGCATGTGCTTGCACATGCCTGTGACTATGTGTACATGTGTATTTAGGTGCAACTATGTCTCTGATCTGCAGACGTGGCTGGGCTCTTGCAGAGAATGTTTTGCAGGCCTGTTGTCAGATGGGGAAACTGAGTTCCAAAGCAGGTCTGTTGCTCCCTGGGGCATGGAAGAGGGGCTCACCTGCCCTGCTCCTGCTTTGTCTCCTGTGGATGCCATGGGACCTGCCTAGGGGTACCTATATGGCCCGCCTGCCTCAGCTGAGGGGTCTGGTGTTCTGTTCATGTGCAGGGTGTACTGCTGGGCAGAAGTGGTTCAGGCTGAGTTCCCAGTGTTGAGCTCCCAGGCTCTAGAGATTTCCCACCCCCACCCCCAACAGAAAACCCAAATCTTGGTCTTTCAAGGCCCCCTCCAGGGGCCCTGAGCCTCTTGTCTGGACTCCCTCCCTGAAAGCTGGCTGTCTTTTAGTACTCAAGTTGGCCACAGACTCGAGACCACGAGGGGGTGCCAGGGCCCCAGACATTGAGCACTGAAGGCTGTCCCTAAACAGGAAGCATGGGAAGTAGACACTGGTTCCAATCACAGGCTGGCAGCTGTGACACCCACCCTGCTAGGAGAGGGGGGGATCTGTCCAGGAGCAAGCCTGTTTCATCTGTGCCACTTTCAGCCTTTGGGCTCCACCCACCCTCCCCTACCCCCCATATTGTGAGTTGGCCCTGGGGCTCTTGGAGCCCAAGTTTGTTAAACCAAAACTGGTTTCTACATATTGGGATTGTTTATAGTGGGGCCAATCCACTGCCTTCCAGCCCCCCAGTGTGGCTCCCTTTGCCCACCGGTTGTGACCCTAAACCCCCCCACCAAGGAGAGAGGCCAAAGTCTAGTCCCAGAGCCAGTGTTTATTAGCAAGATGGAACCCAAGGGCGGCTGTGGCCTGGGCAACAGAGGGCCACCAGGAGCCTCCACCCATCTACCCAACTGCCCCGTAGAGCTATTTACACCCATCGCCTGACGTGGTGGGCAGAAGGGAGCTCCAGGGAGCCCCTGCAGGCCCCAGGCCTCCATCATGGCCCCCTCTCCCCTTGGGCCTGGGGGGCTCCCCTCAACCTTGCCTGCACCTGGCCCCTCTGCTATTCTCCCAGCCTGAGTCCAGATGGCACAGGAAAAGCTAAGGAGGTAGAAGGTGGCAATGGCAGGGAGAGGAGAAGGGGCTGAAGGTACTGCCCAACTCAGGCAGGACTCCTCCTGTCCCCAATAAATAGAGAATAAATACCTGGGAAGGGGTTGGCCTTGACTGAGTGCCCCCAACCCAGGCAGGAGCCAACATCCTGTGACAGCCCCTTCCCTTCTCTTAGTGCACCTGAACCCCCACCCTCAGCCTCCAAAGTTGTCCTCACATCCGTGTCTGTCACAGCATGGGTTGGCAGCACACATTGGCAAAGGTGTAGTCTGTGCACCATCCAAGTAGGGCTTGCTCCCTCCCTGTGTCCTGTAGGTCTTGGCGGTGGCCGTCAAGCAAGTAGACTTCCAGTTGAGCCTGGGGACTGTGTAGTCTGGCCCTGCCAACTGGCTGGGCCTGGTTAGGTGGGCTCTGCTTTCTGCTGTCTTTGACCAGCATGGGTCTAAGTTCTAGCCGCTGAGGCAGGCTATATACAACCCACCAATAAATACTGTCTTTGCAGGGGCAGGGTGTGTATAGAATATAGATTTTATATATATATATATATCTTTTATATTAAAAGGGAGGAGGGCTTAGCTGGCCCATTGCTGGGCTCAGGCAGCTGGCCTCATGTGTCCGGAGGGTGGTGCCGACGGTTCCGGGGTTTTTTCTGGTCCTGGGGCTCAGGAAGCCTGGGTACCCCTGGGGCCTCCCTAGGGCTGGGGGGCACATGGCGCCAGTAACCCTGGCAGTACTGGTGGATGAGGCCCACTTCTGGCTGGGCCAGCAGCTGGGCCAGCTCCTGGTAAGAAGGTGTGGGGGGTCCTGCGCCTGGGGGCGGTGGGGCGCTCCCAGCCAGCAGTGGGAAGAGGGCAGCATGGACGGCGTCCCGGCCCAGTACATGCAGCTGCACCCGTGTGACGACGTGCTTGAAGTTGTTCTCAGTGGCTGTGCAGGAGTAGAGGCCACGATCACCAAGCTGCAGCGCTCGAAGCAACAGACCCTGCTCTGTGCGCAGGAAGCGGTCTTCTGCACGAATCTGCAGGTGCAGGGAGCAGGGACTCAGGGGCTGTGTGACCACCCAGCTGCCCTAGCCAGCTCCCAGATCAGACCACCTTTGTGGCCATTCCACATAGGGGTACCCATGTGGAATTTCCATATACCAAGGAAAACCCACATGAAGTTTCCATATAACGAGAGAGATCTGAATAAGGCATCCATACATATTTCCATTTCAGGAGGGTTGACCATAAGGAGGTTATGTACAATGAGAGAATTTTGGAGCACACACAGAGAATTTCCATTTAATGAGAGTACCGCAGTTGGGGCACCCACATACAATTTCCATATAAAGAGGGACACCTGTAAGGCATTTCCATAAAGTGAGGGCTACCCACAGAATTTCCATATAGTGGAACTCATCCACACGATGCTTCCATACAAGAAGGTATATTCCCACTGGGTCCATATATGGGATTTTCATGTAAAGAGGCAAACCTATAAATGGTTTCCATATAATTATGCCTGTCCCATGGAATTTTCACATAACTAGTTTCACTCAAATGGTTTTCACGTAGGGAAGGAAATTTGGAAGGGGTTTCATGGAATGAGAGCATCCCCAGATTGGCCTCTATGCTACATTTCACCCACATGAAATTTCCACCATACAAGGGACTCCATACCCACGGTGCAGGACTGTGGGGCACAGGAACTCACCTCTCGGCGCCGGTCATTGGGATCTCGCTGGAACAGCCATTTCACAGTGGCCTGAGGCGAGCGGGGCTGGCACTCCAGGAAGGCTGCGCTGCCTGCCACACCGTACTGCACAGACTCCACGGCATTCTTGTTGGCTGTAGATCAAGAGGGCGCTCTGAGTAAGAGCAGCATTGGCTCTGGGCAGCCCACTGGCTGGTGAGGGGCAGGCACTGAGGGGCACCCACCCATAAAGGCAGGGCTACACCACTGGGCATCTATCTACTCCTAGAGGGGATGACCAGGGATGTCCCATCTCTAAAACCCCAAGTCCTCTCACCCCCACCAACTGTCTGAGAATCCTTACAGTGGAGGGGAGTGTGAGGAGCACCCAGGGGTGAGGCCCAGCACACTCACCATTGGAGTTGAACCCACGGCACTGCCTGATGGGGTTTCCATGCCGGACGTCCTGCCGGCGGCTCCGCCTGGATGAAGACAGAATAGTTCCTGAGAGCAGCTCCCTGAAAGCTTGCCCCTCCCCCCAGGTCCCTGCACCCTAAGACTCCAGAGCAGGGCCCTGTATCCCCAGGGCAGTGATGTCTCATTCATAGACTCTCCCAGGGTAATGAATGCCCTCTCTACCTCCAAACCCCCAGGACAGGACCCTGGATCTGGTGGCTAAAACCTCAAGGGTCTGAAGGTCCACACCTTTTGGAGGATGCTGTGTAGCGGGAGCAGGCCTGGCCATCCCAGGCGCAGTAAGGGTCCCGGGCGAGACAGCAGTCGGCACAGGCGGCCCCATAGGCCTGGCAGCGGTGCAGGCTCAGATGTGTGACACCCACAGCTGAGGCCACGTACAGTTGTTGCTGGGGGGAGGCAGAGGCTTGTCAGTTCCCTCCCCACAGCCAGTCCCCATCAGCAGCCAGTTGGTCTGGACTCCTTCTCTTCCCTGTTCCATGCCTCCGTTTCCCCACCCCTGGGCCAAGGACATGACCCCAAGGGAATACAGACTCCTTCTCTACCCCTAACCCACTTCACCAAAGACTCACCCTCTTGGAAGAGATGGTCATGGTCTTAATAGGTGCTGGGTCCTGGAAAAAGGAATCAGCTTGAGAACCTGGGCACTCCCTCCCTGCCCTGACCTAGGGGCTGGGACTGGGAAGGGTCAAGGTAGGGAGAAGACTTGGTGGTTCCACACCTACCTTGAAGACCTCCACCTCCTCCAGCATGAGCTCCTCCATCTCCTGGTCATCCTTGGGCAGCACAATGACCTTCTGCACTGTCCCGCGGTCTGGAACGGGCCGGGCAGGGCCTCAGTGGGGCTGGGGATACTGGGGAAGGGGCACCAGCCTCAGCCCCTACCCCCACCAGGGCTCAAACCCCCCTAGGGCAGTAGAGCAGGAGCTCTGTGCCACGCTTGAAGGGATTCCCTGGGATGAGGGGAAGAGGTCAGAGGGGACAGATCCAGAGAAAGGGGGTAATGGCCAGTGTCTGCCCCCCCCACCCAGACCCTCATTTTGGGCCCTGCTGAGAACAGGACACTGAGGCATTCCCTTGTGCTGGGGGCTCCTGGAGCTGTGGTGGATACACTTTCATGTGCACATGCACTCGCAAGCATGTGTGTCAGTATTTGGACCTGTGTATCCTGGGGGTGTCTGTCATCTGTCTCCACCCCTCTCCTGCCATACATGGAATGGAGTCTTCCCATCCCTAGCCTCAGTTATCTTAGAAGTAGAGAGAAGCTACAAAGGATGAGGGAGAAAGAGTTGACCTTGACAAGCCTATAGCAATTCCCAGCAGGGCAGGTCTCAGCCCCACAGATTGGCACCCCCCACCTACCCAGTGGGCCCCACATTGTAGGGGCCGGGAGCAGCAGTGGGTACCTGTGCCCAGGAAAAGCACCTCATAGCGCCCGTCGGCTGCATCCACTTGGTCCACAGCGACAGTGGTGAGACGGTAAGGAGCACCCGTGCGGACCACCAGGGGCCGCCGCTGCAGAGGGTAAACGGCCTGGTACATGAGTGGGTGGCTGCGCATGAAGTTGATCACTTCGTCAGGATAGTCCTTGGTGGACTTCATGGATGGCGTGAAGGTTCCGCCAGGGCACTGTAGGCAGGTGATGAGTGTCAGTCCCAAGCTGCCCGGATGGGCCACACCAGACCCACTAGCTTCAGGAGAGGCCTCTGTCCCGTCTGTCCCACCACCTCTACCTACTCTGCTCTTCAAAACCCGCTCTCCAGGCTTCTGCCTTACACGTGACCTGCTAAGATCCCAAAGTCCCATGTGACCAAATCCCACAGCCACCTCCCTGGCCTCATGCGCCATGACCTTGTGGCAGCATTTAGCAGAGCTGACCACTCCCCTCCCATGTCCTCATCCCCACCCTGTTGTCTCCTTCCTCTCTGGCTGTTCCACCAGTCTCACCCCTCCTCCTGCACAGCCGGACTGCAGGCCCTGAAGTCCTCGTAACACTTTAGGCACACTCTCCCTTTTCCCTGAAGCTGCTCCCCCTGCCTGGGGCTCATCCTGCTCTCCACCCCTGACAGCTTAACTCCAGCCTATTCTTCAACTCCAAGTTCACCTCTGGTGGGAAGCCTTCCCTGACACCTGCTGAGACCAGCTTTCCCCCTCCCTGTCCCACTGCAAGAGATCAGATCATGTTGTTCTGCCTAGACTCCTGTAGTGGTCCATGTCACACCAAAATAAAGTGAAACGTCTCCCATTGCTGCAGATCTCGCAGGCCTGGCCCCTGCCCACTCCCCACCTCCTTACCTACTGTTAGCCACCAAAGCTGGCCCTTCCTTCTAACTTTCAGCTCCCAAGCAGCCCCTCAGAGGGCCCCCATGGAGCAGCCCATCACACCCTGCCCATCTTTGTCTCGGGGTCCGGCTCGGTTCCTTCACAGCCTGGTGCTGGCTGTGAATGCTGGGTTTGTGTGTGGGTTATGGTTCACCTCCCTCACTGGCTGTGAGCTCTGTGATGGTGGGGCCCATGTCCACAGGAGGCCTCTTAGAAGGAGAGGAAGGGGAGAGGCAGGTGAGCAGGGCCCTTACCGTGCCGGGTCGTGGGTAGGGCATCTTCCCTGAGAAGGGCATCCACTGGTAGTTGGGGCCTTCCTTGTGGGCAAAGGGCCCGTTGAAGACCATGCGGATGTCGGCCATGGAGTAGACACACACAGCAGAGCCTCGGAACACGGAGCTGTGTGCAGGGCAAGCTGTTGCTGTGGATGGGGAAAACCTCGGCCCACGGCCCTCCCAGCCTTCCCCCACCCCACAGATTGCCCCCAGCCTGGAGTCCTCCACAAGTTCTAACCCCTCAATCTGGCCACACCTTGCTTGCCACTGCTGGCCCCGACCCCAGCCTCACCCCGAGGAGGTAAAGACAGCATAAATGACCGGGTTCCTCACATCCTGGGTCTGCTGGACAAACACATCCTCTGGGGACAGAGGGAGAAGGTACTGAGAGGGTGCCTTAGGCAGGAGCCCCAGGGCCCCCCCGCTCCTCCCCAGGGGAGGGGGCCCACCAAAGGTACCCTGGCCACCCATCCAGCCTCCATCTCTCCCGCTGCAGTCACAGGCCCCTGCCTGTCTGCTGAGCACTCACGGAGCTCGTCAAAATGAGTCTCAATGCCATCCTCGCCCGGCACAGAGCAGACAAGCCGCGCCTTCAGGAATGTGCTCCACTTGTTGACCAGACAGCAGTGACCACCGTCATCATTCTAGCGGGTAGGGGGTAGGGGGTAGGAGTCTGGGTCAGATCAGCTCACTCATCCCCAAGACCCTGTTGGAGCAGGGCTGACAGCCAGGACTGGGCCTGGAGAGGGGACAGCATACCAGGCAGATGCGCCCAATGCGCGCGTACACAGCGGGGCTCTGCGGTGCCTCTGCAGACCGCTCGCGGAAGAAGAAGTAGAGCTTGTCATCATTGCGCTCTGCACTGTCAGGAATGAGCTCAGCATGGATGAACGAGGGGTCTGCAGGTGGGCAGGGGTCAGCTGGGTGAGCCCTCCCTCTGACGGTGCCTTTTCCCCAACAGAATCCCCAGCCAGGTACAAAAACACCTCCAGTTCTTCGTACAAAAACACCTCCAGTTCTTCTCCAGACAAGAAACTATCCCCACCCCAGCCAGTCACAGGCCGAAAACTGCACATATGTTTGTTTATCTTCCCCTTGCCATAAAACAGACAAACGCTCACCAAAGGTCTTGCAGGCCACACTCACCATTGAGCCACCGGGAGTTGTACTGATCCGTGCGCATGGCTGTCTGCTTTCCGAGTGTGCGGAAGATGGCTGCATCAGTGCCCATAAAATCAATGTAGACACCAGCGTAGAGCTCCTCATCTGCAGGTGGGCCAGTGGATCAGGGAGTCTGCCTTTTGCTTGGGCCAGGGCACAGCCCAAATGACCTCCAGGGCAAGGTCTTGTCTCCCCCCTTAGTCTCCCCAGGCATGATCATATCTCCAGTAGGGTGCTGGTAAATGGTAACACTTGGCTCTGGGAGGGTTGGGATTAGTAGCAATTAGCTCTGATTAGCAGCAATAGCCAATTTCTGTGGTGTAAATAGTCCACCACGGCTGATTTCAAGCTCCTAACCTGAGGTCACTGAAAGCAGAGCTGGGAATAACTGCCAACACCATTGCACAGAATTTCTACCCCACAGATACAATAGATGTAAATAACCACAAGAGCACAGATAACAATACAATGTAGTAAAATAATTAGGAAGTAATGAGTTTGGAGTATTTGTTACCTTTTCTGGTTATCACATTTGTTTTAATATAATTTATTTAATTTTTAATAATAGCTTTTAATTTTTAGTAATAACAATAGGCTCATAAAATTCCTGCAAATTTAACAGCTGAGCTGGCTCCAGCACACCACTCCATGTCTTCCCTCTGAGATTCCCCCAGGGCAGGCCCTGTCATCCCCCATCAGACTCCCTGGTCGGCTCTGCCATCAAGCTGAGACCTTCTCACTCAAGAGGGGGATGATAATGCCCGCCCCCTGCCCCAAGGGCCTTTCCCAGACTTGGAGGTGGCACAGTGCCCAACAGCTGCTCTGAGAAGGCAGACTGGGTTGGACAGCCAGAAAATAGGCAGAATGCATGAGCCAGGGTCAGTGGTAGGCTTGCCCAACCTGGGGGTAGAGGCCGCAGCTGCTCCTGGGGCCCCAGACAGAACCTCTCCTCAGAGAACAGCCCCCAACTCTCCCAGACAACTGCCCAAACCAGAAACATGCTCTCCCTGGCTGGTCACAGGGCAGAACTCTCCACTGGTGCTTCCTTGTGGGCCTCTCCCAGCCTCCTAGACATACCAGGAACGTGCTATGTAACCACCCCTCACACCACGCCCGATACAGACTCAGCTTGTCTTCTCTTCTAGGCAGCCTACAGCTAGCAGGGCTCTGGGCTGTGCATGGACCACACTGTTTTTCAGGGTAGGACCTGGGCCCCCAGCACCCCCATCCAGAGAGGCTGGATGGAGGCTCCTACCACCTAGTTTCCGCCCCTCAGGACATACCAGGCTCTGAACCACACCCCCCCCCCAGGTGGGGCCTCATTGGGGGGTTCAGGGAAAGCCTAGTCACTGTTTCTGTCCTGGGGTAAGTGTTGGTGCCACATACCCTCCCTCCAGTGCCAGAGGCCATACATTCAGACGGTAGAACCAGGGTGGGGTGGGGACACTCACTGATGAGGGCTGAGGCTGTGTCCAGCTTGGGGTCGTATGGACACTTGCCCTTCCCTGACTCGAGTCTCTCAGGCTCCAGGTAGAAGATGTAATCCTGCAGGGCAGAGGGGGGCTCAGCACCATCTAGGCAGTCCCACAACCAGGAAGGGTAAGATTATCAGGCTCCTAGGGTGAGAACGACCCCATAGAGATACCTGGGCCCACCCCCTGCACTCCCGAGAGCTCCTTGGGAGTAAACTCCATCCAATCACATCTCCCAGGGCAGGACCATGCTGTGGGGAAGGCAATTCCTGGTTCTAGTCCTTACCCAGGAGGTAAGTCTCAGAGGGCCCCACCTTGGGGGCCATGAGATGGGCATCGAGTGGGGTTTTAGGGGCTAAAGCCCCTCTGTGCCAACAGACTCAGGAAGACTCTGACCAAGGCCCCCTTGGGCCACAAGGCACAACCCTTTGAGCTGCGGCTGCCTGTCTTGGGCCAAGGAGGGGCTGTAGACTTGGCCAGGGCAGGGGGCACTGGTCAAGGGCCTGTCCTTTCCTGTCAGGTCCAACCAGGCCAAAGAGCTCTAAAGTTACTATGTCTCCAGACTTCATCCCCTACCTGTGCTCCTCAGGATGGACCAGTAGGCCATTGCCTTTTTCCTGCCCCTCCGCAGAGCCCCCAGGCTCCAAAAATCCCCCCAGAGAGCCAGGAGTTAAAGGATCCAGCCCAGACCACATGGAATTCCAAAAGCCCCCTATGCTTCCCAGCCCAGTCTGGAAGATGCTGGGAGGAAGGCTGGCGGAAGCACTGGGACCAGGATGAGCTCATAGGCCAGAAGGGAAAGGCAGAAGGAAAGGGGAGACAGAGACACAGAGGCAGGAGGAGGTGGCAGCAGGTGGCAGGATGGTGTGATGGGAAGGTGCACACAGGCCCGCTTCCAGTTGCACTCCGCACACGTGACTTCCTGCACACACAGGGACGGCACACACAGCTTCACACACATCACTGCCAGCACACAGAACCCCTGCTTATACCCTAGACACACGCACACAGAATTTGAATGATCCTGCTTTTCAGCACTCCCTGCCACAGACACACACACTGTCATTCACCGGCAGCCCCTGCCCCCCTGCCCGCCCCTGCCCAGCCCCAGTTCTCCCAGCCCAGGCCCAGGTTATGACTAGTGGACAAACTCTACCCCAGGAGAAGAGCTCCAAGCATGTGAGTGTACGGGACACCTGTGTCCACTGGGTGACCCATGGGAGGCACAGGGCACGGACACGTAGAAGTAATGTGTCAAACTGCACCCATGTGCCACATTCCCACTCTGGGTGCTGAGTAAGGGGTGCCCAAGTATGTGTTGGTGTGTACTCTTGGGTCTCTACACACACGTGTTCTGAGGCACAGCTGTCCCCAGGGCTCCTGTCCTCCCCACCTGATGGCTTCATGACTTCTTGCCTGCAGGGCTCACACTGAGGCTGACATGAATCCAGCTAGGAATGGCTTCAGAGCCTGAGGGCACTGCAGGGGAAGGGGTGGGAATGGGGTGGGGGCAGAGAGGTAGAGGGAAGACCCTGGGAAGGCTGGCCTGGACTGAGGCCCAGGGTGAGTTCAGCTCAGAGGCAGGACTGCCTTTCAAAGGCCTGGAGGGATGAGGCCCACCTGGCGTGGGGCTGTGGGCATCGGGTGGAGGGCACCATCTGTGGCTCTGCTGCCGCGGCCTCTGACCACCTGCGTCTGAGTCCATGGTGTGGCCTAAGAAGACGAGGAACAGGGGTTAGAGCTGGGGGTGTCAGGGGCTGGGGGAGCGGGCTCGGGCTGCCAGCCTCACACACCACACAGGCCAGGAACACACGTGAGAACACAGGCCCCCAGAGTACGTATATGCGCATGTATGTGCACACACACACAGGCTTGGCACACACCTGCACGCACATGTGCCCCTTAGGTCCAGTCGCTCTCATCCATGCCCTATAAGGTCACACCAGCTCACACACATGCCCACATGGAAATGGAGAAGGGCAGAAGCAGGCAGGGTGGGCAGAGCTGGGGAAGGGGCAGCTCCCTCCAGGCCACATGGCAGCTGACCCAGGCGTCCAGCCTCTTGACGCTGAGGTCCCCGCCAGGCCCTCTAGCTTGGCCGCAGGGGCACAGTCCACAGGAATAGGCAAGAGAATCATTGTCACATATGGAGCGAGTGCTTACTCTGTGCCAGGCACAGTGCTAAGAGCTTTGGGAGCATTAGCTCACTGCCTCCCCTCACACCGACCTGGGAGAAAGGCAGCTGATAGCCCATTTTCAAGTGAAGAAACTGAGGTTCATTGAGGTGAAAGAAGTCACTCACCCGAGGTCACAGGGCTCAAAGTGGCAGGGCTGGGGCTCAAGCCCATCCTCCCATCAGGACCCTTGGAATACAGCCACCAGTGGGGACAGCACAGTGCCAGGGTGGGCGGGGCTTACCTGGGCCCGGCGGCCTCGGTTCACGTAGGTGCACATGGGGTTGTAGGCACCTGTCCCGCACACATACAGGTGTGTTCGATTCCAGGGCTGGATGAGCCTGACGAAGTTCCCGCACTCACCCTGGGGCCAGAAGGAAGGCTCCATCAGTCCCCAGATACCTGCCTGGCTCATTCCCTCTCTGGGATCACCTGCCCCCTTCCCTGTGGAGCCCACTGCACTCACGTTGCCATCCTTGCCCGAGAGCACACACTCCTCAATGCGCTGTGGGGAGGCTGCCCAGTGGATCTGCCAGAGATGGAGGTCAGAGGGTGCTGCCTGCTGGACAGGCCCTGAGCCCTGGGGTTCCACGCCCCTTCTCCCCCATGCCCCACATCTGGCCTGGTCCTTACAATGAGGGGTTCGCGGTTGATGTCGTGCAGGTCCAGGGACAGCACGTAGTCCTTGCTGCCCACGTACATGCGGTCGTGGTCCTCGTCCTTGAGCAGGATCCGGTAGTCAGTCGTGTTGAGCAGGAAGTTGAAGAAGTGGGCAGTGCCTGTGGCCTTCAGCTCTGTGGGTGGAGGGCAGGGCACTAGTGAGGACCTTCAGGAGACCATCCAGTTGTACCCCCTTTGACAGAGGGGGTACTGACGCCATGAGGTTTCCCTCTGGGCTCCCACCACACAGTTGTCTTTTTTTTTTTTTTTTT